CCGTACAGCAGAATGGCAAGCCACTTCTGAAAAGCCTTGCCAAGAAAACTGCAGGGACTTGTCCAGGCAGTTGCCAGGAGTGAAAAACTGACTCAAAGGCACACACACACACACAAGTTGGTGAACCTAGTGGCATGGATTGATTATTGAAACTTTTCAGGATGCCGAAAAAAGGAATTCACAAAGCTTCTTTGTTTTTTTCCCCCCAATATTTGCTAATAAAAAAAAAGTCACTACTTTTTTGTTTCAAATGAGCTACAAGTAAGAATGTGTTTAATTATTTGGACATGTGTTTTGAACCCTACCACAGAAAGTGGGAATTCAAGTGCAGAATATCTGAGCAGGGTGTACTGACCAAATCAAGCATGACAACTCTGCAGATGCTAAGCATGATCACATTGAGTCAATTTTTTTTATATACTTGGCTCCACTGAGGGCAATTTTGGATTTTTATACCTAGCAGCCGCAAAGGTATATAAAAACCACTGAAGTCATATTATAGCCATGTGTGCAGAATGATACCAAGCACCTTGAAACCATATAACATTTCAGTGATCCACTGAACTGGAACTAAATGTGGTGATTACTGACTTCAAAACCATTGTTTGTAAGAGAAGAAAAAAATACTAACCCACCAAATAATCACCCCTATAGATTAATTGCTCTGATAGTAGCACAATGAATCTTAAATTTGAGTACCACTTAGTCTGCCACTCCTCTTTATAATAGTTTTTTTCCCCTTACTTTGCAGTGTTCACCACACAGATGTTGCTCTTTCTAGTGTTTCAAACATTAGAATGAGATGAATAACTTGAAGAATCATTGCATTTGAAACTTGAGGCCAATTCACAATTGTGGATTACTTGCATATAAAATGTGTGTGCTGCCCCACCCAAATCACCCTATTTCCTCCCACTGTGGAGGCTCCTTGCATGATTCAGAGACACTCTGAGATGAGGAGGCTCATTTCATGATTGAGAAACTGGATTATATGGGGTTTTGAACTGTGTGGGAACAACTGACTCCCTACCTGAAAAGTTGCGACTGTGACTTGAGAAGTACGACTTAACCTAAGTCTCTTTTGACACAGAATTTGGTGTATTCTTTCAAAGGTGATGATACCCTGAGAGGAATGATTTTGCATCAGACACAGTCACACAAACATGCATAACTAATTCACTTCTTGCAAAATCATCTTGCACTACTGGATCAACACCATTTGCTTGCAAACCCAGCAACTCTATGAACAACTTTCCAGGTGAATAGTGTATTAATTGTTGGTTATTTTCCATTTGAAATAGCAAATTTAATTGTTAGGTTTTTAATTTAATTTAATGCTTTTTAATTGCAATTTAAGACTTGAGCAAATTTGGAATTGTCTGCATATGTTAGCAGAAGAAGTATGAATACCATGTTGCAAAGTGTATTAATACAAAATGAAATGGTAACGGTGTCCTAGAATCCTATGAAAAGTTCCTTACATTACAGACTAACTTAAAAATGAGTCAGAGGTCAGAAATCAGTATGGATTCTTATACTAAAAGCTATGGATTGTAACCTCATATTGGCTGCTTCAGAATGGTCAAATTATCATCCACATTTTATTTTTTAAATATTTTAATTCCTTTACAAGAACATTTTGTTCTTGAAATGAAAAAAAAATGGCTGGAACTAATTTTTCAGTTCTCTTACTTTCATTTGAAAAAATCCTATGTGATTTCAGTTGTAAATCTCTAAGATATTTAACATAGGCTGTCAGAGCTGCACCTTTTTTTTTTTTTTAGTTGCAATAGTATCTTCACACTAGCATTGCAGTAGCACCTAAAATTCTGTTAATCCAAATATAGAACTAGCAGACAATACTGATGACATGTTTCATGCAATAAATGGAAATCTATTCTAAAGGACATCTGTTATACTGGTTTTGCATGTTCTCCAATTATGGGCTGCATGTTTTGCATCATTTAAATTGAGTCTTAGGTTTTTCAGTCCATCCTCAATTGACTTTGCCCATATTTTTGTTGGTACTGTTCACTGAAACTTCCACTATGTGGGCTACTTTCTCTACAGTGGTCTGCAAAGAAGGTGATGTTCTGTCATTCTGCATACATGTCCAAACCATCTTAATCTGCATTTTTGTATTTCAACCTCAGTTGTAGGTTATTTACTGCATCTCATTCTTAATCACTCTTGAGACAGTTGTGTAGGGAGATGCCAGTATATGTTATAGGTGCCACATTAGGAAACCATCAAGCTTGTTTAGGGCTGCTTTTAACAACGTCCATGTCTCAAATCTGTTCAGCAAGACCAGCAGGACAGTTTCTGCAAGATCTGCATATTTGTTTTCACTGAAATGTTGTGTTTCCTGCCGAGGTACCAGTTTAACAATTCAAAGACAGCAATGGCCCAGCCAGTTCTGCTTTGTACTTCTCCTTTTGATGCTGGTTTCTGTTCGTCCATCAGTGACTCAAGAAACTGGTTAACCTACTCTATCTGGACTGTTAGACATCAGATAGTCTGCTGATGCAAAAGATACCACTCTAAACATATATACAGAAAGAGAGAGAGAGAGAGGCTATGCTTTATACTATTATTTTATTTTCACACTAGAGCAACCAACTAGGAAAATCAAAACAGAATGCTGCTTCAGTTTTGCTCAAGAAGAAAGGAAGAATGGCTAGAAAACCTATTACATCCTTTGTGAAATTTTCGGCTGGCATTTATTTCCTCAGGCATATGCAGAATACTGCTACCAGCTCCCCCCACCCCCAAGCTCATTGGGTCCAATCCAATAAGATTTATTTTAAAAGCACAGATTTACTATTGAAAGAGAGTTCTTAAGCATCCATGAAATATTTAAAAAGTTAATCACAAGCATACTGAAAAGCATTAAGATAACAGCTTCACACTGACAAGCCTCAAATAGGCAGCTTGCCAAACTGTCTATTACTAGTCTGTGCTGGCACTGTTCCCCAAAGCAGGAATTCCATTTTCATCTCCATGTCCTTCAAGTAGTTATATTAAGTTGTTTTAAATTAATTTCGCAAACAGCTGTTTGAATAACATCACGTTCCTGTCAATGCTTGCTTTCACGTGTCTCCCTTTGATGCCACTGCATTTGGGGGTAACAAAGCCAGACATCAGCCCAAGTAGTGAGGTCCTCCTGTCATGGAGACTCCTTTGGCTCCTTTAACTGTGAGAAAGCTTTTCTAGCCCCACAACTTTCATTACCAAACCAAAAAGACCCACCGCTAACAAAGAAAATTCTGATCTTTTCAGAGTCTCAGCAGGATTGACAGTAAGAACATCGAGTGATTTTTGAAGAAGGACTTGAAGAATGCCTGCTTACTAGTATTTCCCCCTTTCTAGCTCCAACTTTGAGGAGAACAGACACAGAGGCCGCATGATACCATCATATTACATCAACAGTGCCAAGCATTTCAAAGGCAGCTTTAAAGAGTCGTGTTACATTTTGTTTCATAAATTCTCTCCGACTACAGGATAACAGTACTTAAGCAGCATTGTCTCATCTGCACTGATACACTTCATTTCACTAGATACATCGCTGTGAGCCATCATCAACCCATAAATTAGATTCTGAACCACTGCGGAAAGCATTCTAATGGAAAAATGTTTACAAATATTGTAACATAAAATGCATCAGCTTGATAGCAAGGGAGAAGGAATGTGATGGTGGATTTGCCTCTCAGAGATCACAGCTCTATCTCTAACCTCACCTGGAAATATCCACATAATCCTATGGCCTTAGGACACTGCATCTATGATTGTAAATTACAACTAAGTTACATTTATCAGTGAATTGGAATTCAGATATATGCTTCCTTTTAAAATGAAAAGAATAGTGAATGTTATTTGAAAGATGGTATAATGGGCCCATTTTCAAGACATTTCTAAATCTACTTTTTAGGTTTAGCTTAACTTGAAAACCACCAAGATTGTGTTTTTATCTCATACAGAAACCTTGGTTTGAGGATCAATAGGACTAGGAGAAAAACCATTTTGCTTCTCTCTTAACAAGTTAAATTATGCGTCATTTTCACATCTTGGTACATCTAAAACAGCTTGTACTCTTCCTAAATTATAAATTGCTGTGGATAATCCTACTGATGAACAGTAATAACCAATCAAGTAAACTAGTCACCTGCCAAATGGAGTCTTTAGCCTCTTCAGCCGGCAGTGGGATAACCAAAAGATTCTGGAGAATAAATGCAGCCTACAAGGAAAAAAAGACACACATCAACAGTGCCATCTGGCTGCAGTTAAAAGAACCTAAGCTAGTACATACTAAATCATCAATGCAATGCAATGTACACATTAAATTAATACAACTTTTCTGTTTTAAGACTCCAGAAGCTTTTTGGCTATTCAGTGGATTATTTAAAAAGAAATCAAATTTTGCATTCTATAGTAAAATTGAAGCAGGGAGGAAAAAAGACCTTGACATGTAATTTTTCGAACAAATTTTATACAGGTCAACAGCTTAAAGAGGTGGAAGTATTGTAATTCAGATAGTATTAAACTTATTTTTAGTACTAATGTTTCAATTGTCATAGTTCAGTCAGCTTTCTGAAAACTGCTTCCTGCACATCGCTTAACTTTTCACAATGGCTAATCTTGTTTGTTTACACTGTGGAGAAAGATGAGGTATCCCTTAAAATTACAGAGAATGGCTTCATTATTTTATATTTCTCTACTTTCAGTGTCTAGCAAACTGCAATCCCAGAAAACCTAGAAGCACCTCATGCCATATGAAAAATAGGAGTAAGGAGTGGTTTAGTGATCTGCTTGGCCATAGAGTCAGACTCCTCATAAGCTAATGAAGGAACATTTCTCACGTAACTGCTGTTCCAGACTAGATCTTAGTCAAAGACAATTTATTCTTATCTTGCATTCCCAAATAAAATCTAAATATGGCTAGATTTGGACATTGTTTTAAACCCTCTTTGTATGGTTTATAAAAGAAGGAAGGTATGATAATGAATTTTGCTTTCCAGGCAAAAACATTAAAAATGTTAATGCATATCACTGCAGTTATTAGCTATATCTTGATAGTATCATAGCCACTGAAACTTAAGGGGAAAACTTATATAGCCATTACCATCTTTGAAGCATTTTTTTAAAAAACAAAATAGGTGTAATCTAGTCAAAGAAAATCTTTGAAAAAAACTAGGAATAACTTCCCACTTCCCTCTGTATTCAGTGAAAAGGTCTGATAGATGCCTAACTTTTTATAATTAGAATGCCTGGGACTTAACTATATGAAAGAAACCAAGAAACTTTCAGACAAGTTTAACCCACTATAAATGCCAGAAAGAATCCTAGAACATTTTAATACAAATAGTTTAAAGCATGGGGAGGGGGAATCACCCATCCACAATTGCATGATACCATATAATTTCTGCATCTCTTATGATCCCAAGCATAAAAAATAATAGGAAATAGACCTAGATTATAGTTATGTTGTAAAAAGCAAAAACAGAAAATACAGGTAGTCCCTGGGTTAAAAAAGCCCAGGTTACAGATGACCCATAGTTAAGAATGGAGGTTATTGTAGCAAAATTTAAGTTAAATACACAATGATTCAAGTTAAATACACAGTAGCTCAAGTTAATTACACAATACTACTTATACATTATACAATAATACTGTTCTGGCTTATATACACATTTAACTTAAAGACAGACCTTGGGAAAGGAACTTGCTCTTAAATATAAAGATACTACCTGTATCTTTATATGCATTTTGTTCCATAAACTTCAGTACAATATTTCTCCTTCCTCCTCTGTACCATAAAGGTTTATAAGTCAAGGAAAATACAGCCATGAGCTGTATCTTTCTTTGGTATCTAAATGCAGTGCAATTGCCTTAAAGATTCCTATACAGGAAAATCCTAGGTAAGTGTTACTGAAAGTACTTAGAGAAATGTATATAATGCAGCAGGTGACAACTCTAGCAACCATTCTTATAGGAATTGTCCACTCCCAAAGCTTTTCCTTTAACTCCAAATACTGTAACAGTTTTCATTGTTCAGGGACACCATCCCTTGGAGAAGCTTTTCAGAAGAAGAGAAAGCAAGACGAGAGAAAAGCTAAGTGCACAGTCTACAGTCTTCTAGATAAATGATGTAGGCACTTAATTAAACCCATGACAATATCAAGTCATAATTATTTGAAAGCCCATTTTTACAGTTGGTAGGATTTACAAACCTCTCTTCGCACCATGCTGCATTCAGATGTGTCCAGAAGGATGTTAATTACAGTTCCCCATAATCCTCCTGATATGTTCTGGCAACTTTCTGCTAAAGCAAAGCAGCCCACTTCTAGTGATGTAAGTGCCGATCCTATTGCAAGTGAAGTGAACTTTACCTAATATCAACAACAAATCACATTAAATTTATTTAAAGATTTCTGTGGCTGCTCATCTTAAAGCACAACTCTGGGCGGCTTGCAATTTATACATTAAAACTTATCTTCCCGCCAGACTTCTCAATACATTTTATATAGCATGTGGATGATTTATAAGTGTCTATTCAAATTAAGAATTGATTAAATAGTGTGGTTTTTGAATTATTTGCCTCAATCTAATTGCTGAATATTAAACATGCATTTTCAGGAAGCCCTAATTTATGGATTTAATTTAATCCACACATGAAGTCTTCTAGGATAAATATTTTCAAACACTAAGAAACTAATCATTTTCCTATAAAACTACAGTAGCACATACACATGAAGTCAAAACTATTCATCCTAAACCCAAATGAATAAAAAAGATCCAAATTTAAAATCTGATCTCAGTAAATTAAATTGATTTTCTCTCTCTTTTTCCCTTCCCCCCACAGTATGATTAAAACAGCAAAAAAGTATTTCTGAATCTGACAATCTTATAAATGAAAACATTTTATACACTGGAACTTGAAAGAAGACAGAAAATGGCAACTTTATCTAATGAAACACACTTGAATCCATGATTAGTTATCATCAACTTTGCTGGACAGGAATTTTGGAAGTTATACTAGATTGGGGAAGCTGGTTTATGTCACAATAAATCATAAAAATACACAGAACCTTGTTGTTCTTACATTTCTCAATAGAAGCTGTTTTAAAAAATCCTGTTCAACTGTGCATATATTATTTTAACATAGCATCCAACTCTTTAATGTGTTAAGCAATACAAGTATTCCTCGGTTAACGACCACTCATTCAACAACTGTTCAAGTTGTGGCGGCGCTGAACAAGTGGTACCAGTTCTTGAAGTTCCAGCTGTGGCAGCACTCCCATGGTTACATGATCATGATTTGGGCACTTGGCAACCGGCTCACACTTATGAGAGTTGTAGCAACCCACAGTCATGTGATCACAAAGCCAGCAATCAATGGGGATCGCAAAGCAAGTCAATGGGGAAGCCGGCAGGGAAGGTCACAAGTCTCTCCTACTGCTTTTTCTCCTGAGGAGCCCACTATGGATCTCATACTCCATAGTGTGCACCTGCCCACAGCACCCTTCACTTGCACTCCGTAGCACATGTACACACCTCCCCTGCCTGTACTCATGTGGCACCACAGCATCCCCTCCCCCACCTGCCTGCAGTGCCACAGCACCCCCTTCCCCGCCCACACTCCATAGCACTCACCTGCCTGCCAGCCTGCTTGCGAGCCATCTGGGACTTGCGACTTCCTACCAGCTTCCCCATTGTCTTTGCTTGTTGGAAGCTGGCAGGAAGTCACAAGTTGCAGTCACACAAGGTGCTCGCTTAACAACAGCAGTGAGGACTGCTGGGATTGCAGTTGTTAAATGATGTGGTCATCTGACATTGCGCTTTATGACATCACTTAGCGACCACAATTCTGGTCCCAATTACCATGGTTAAGCAAGGATTATGAAGTGGTGCTCCATCAAATTAAGTCCATATCAATTCCACCTCCATGCAGCCTCCAAAGAATGCTAAGAACAAAAGAGCTCACAACAAATTCTCATATCCTTTACCATGTCAACAGTTTTTTCCTGTGACATTTCAACAAAACTAGCAAAGGATAGCATTGTTGGCTTGTGAAAACAATGGTACAAGAAAAAGGAAGGTATGCTTTTTCTTTCCTTGGGAACAATGATATATTCCCACATATGGGAGATTTCTAAAAGGCATTTTAAGATGAACAAATGTACTTCTACCTACTAGAGAGGTGGCTGGCCTGTGCTACAGCAATAATATGCAAGATGACTATTCCAACAATAGGTAATCTACCATTAGCAGAAAATAGGCTTTTGTTCTGTAATTCATATTTTTCATGTTGATCTCTTTGGAGAAGACCCTGAGGCTGGGAAAGATTGAAGGCAAAAGGAGAAGAGGACGGCAGAGGACGAGATGGTTAGATAG